GCTTCGTCTGATGGCGCGGCTCGCAGCAGGCGAAGGCGTCGACTGACGAGGCCTCCTTCTGCCGCGGCCTGGATGACCGACGGCCGCGCCTCTGAGGACGCGGCCACTCGTCGTTTGGTTTCGCTTGCGGACCGGTTGGAAAAACGCAGAAATCCCAGCGCTCCTATTCCAAGTGCGTTGGTAGACCACGGCATGGGCCATCGCTTCTCTAGCTATGTAGGACGCTTCCTGCAACACGCAGTGACCTCTTCCTACGCCGCCGTCGTGGCTTGTGGTCGCGATGTGCGACGTGGTCAGCAGCTGGGTGGAGCGAGATTCGCAGGATCCCAGCTCAGGATCCCGAGAATGCACCGCCAACGTCGGGCACAACCAGGCACATTCAAATGGTCTAGAGATACGGTTGAGGCAGTCTAGAGACACGGCTGATGCAGTTATCTGTCGTCGTTAGCTTGACTACCTTTCCAGGGCTGCTCTTACATACTGTTACGACACGACTATTCTACATAGCTTTTTGACGGCACGATGAAGATGCCTGCCTTGGGTAAACGGACAACAACTAGGTATTTTATCCGACTTCGCTCTGGGCTGCGACTTGGTGCTATCGTGAACGTCCACTTGAACTGCCTTCAACCCTGTGTTTCACTGTCAACGCCACAAAAACACGACGCGTCTTAGCACTGGTTGGTCTCACGCAGCCACGCGATCGTCTTGGCGACGCTCTCGGCCAACGGCATTTGCTTGTACCCGAGCTCGTCGTCCGCTTTGGTCGTCTCGATGTGCGCGTGCAAGCACACCAAGAGCGCGCCCTCGTACGTGATGTCGGGCTCCCGGCCCGTAAAGTACGCCACCGCTTCGTTCACGCGGCCGACTAAACGCAGCACAAAGGCCGGGAGCGGCTGGCGCGTCTCAACCTTGCCCAGTTGCGTCGCTGCTACCTGGATCAGCTCCAAAAACGACGCATCGGGACCTTTGAGAAGGTAGTTGTGGCCGACTTGGCCTCGGTCGGCTGCCGCCACTATCGCGTCGGCCACATACGGTGCGTAGCAGAAGGAGCCCGTGCCGGGCGGGATACCCGTCAGCTCGTCACGCGCCACCATTTTGAAGATGCGCGCCCAGTTGCTTGGGTCGTGCGCCCCGAGGATGTGCGCCGGGTTGATGATGACGGCGGCAAGCCCCTGCGCGATCGCCGCCCGCACTTCGACCTCGGCCGCGGCCTTGGACCGCGAATAGTTGATGGGCGCAATGTTTCCTTCCTGCGGTGTTGCTTCGTTGATTGTATCGCCGCGGTAGCCGTACGCGGCGACGGAGCTTACAAAGACGAAGCGCTTGGCATGCTGCTGCAAGGCAGCTTCGCACATGGCCTTGGTACCAACGACGTTGTCGCGCCACTGCTCAGCATGCCTGGCGCGCCACAACGTCGTGTTGGCAGCGACGTGGAAGACGGCGTCGACCTCGTTCGGCAATATCGCTGCGATCGAAGCGGGGTCTTGGAGGTCGGCGACAACGCACTGAACGCCGAGATCCAATAGCACTTTGACGTTGGAGCCCGGTCGGTGCATGGCAACGATGCGCCAGCCATTGCGCTGGAGCGACTCGACGAGGTGCCGCCCAAGGAAGCCCGTCGCGCCGGTGACAAAGGCCGTCCGCGCCTTTCTGTTGGTCGTCGTCATATCGGATGCTTCAGCAAAATGATGTGGGTCATCGGCCTGTGGGACAAACGACTGGGATTTACTTTACGCTGTGGGCTCTGTTTTGGGAATCCCAAAATTCAGGTTTGCCCCAACGTGGGACAAACCATGCTGCTTGTCATGTGCCTGCATCTTGATAGCAGCGCGCAATTTCGAAATTGGCGCAAGTCATTGGGCCAACCTTCGGCGAACCGACGAACACAAATGTAAAAGGACTGTTTCCAAGAAATGGAAGAGGTTTTCCGCACAAGTCCGAGCAGTCTAGAAGACCGGTTTCAAGTTCACACACGCTACACGATCCAAGATCCAGGCGCAGAGCAAACAAGCTCAAGCCATTTCCAAATTGATTGTATCAGTCAAATAGCTAACCCGCCTCGCCCATCACTGGCATGACGAACACCAACACGGTTGTTGCCCCCAAGGAGTTCGGTCTTGATTGAGGAAACCATTTTTCGCGCGTAAAAACCAATTTTTAGGCGTAAAAATCAATGGGCGTAAAAACGAACAATTGGTGATGAATTTCGCACGCGATGTAATATTTTACTAGAAATGGAATGTGCAATTCCTAGAATGGCCGTGTGCGTCCCTGTGGTATCGTTCATACCAGTGATAACGCCTAATTTGATTGCGCGCTCAAAACAGTCCATGCATATCTGGTCGTTGCATCCCCATTCATCAGCACCAACCGAGCACGTACTTCGCAACGTTTATCGGGTTGGGCAAGCTCGAACATGATCCATAAAGCTCAATTGGGACTCGATAGGGCGGAGCTACCGAAGTTGTCTTTAAAGTATATTATGGATGCACCATACGTCTATAAAATGCTTTACGTTTGCGTCACCACGTGCGCAACGTTGGGGCTGTACGCCGTCGCCTCAGTCGTGTCGACGAGCGTGCCCGATGTCAAGTGCACGAGGATACCAGGCGTGTTGCGGCGCTCGACAAAGAACTCACCGTGAATCTGTTGGACCAAATGGGTCGAATTGGACTTGGTCGCACACACGTGGGCTGGCTTTTCGTCGACCTCGGACATGGTCAAGGACTCGGTCTCGGCGAGAAACTGTTGGCGGAACCGCTCCAGATCGAATGCGACATCAAGCTTTTGCATGCCTAGCCGCCACAAGTGCTGCCTCGTGACAACGATGGAATCCGCCGTCTAGTAGTACCTTTGCCATAATGGTCCAAGAGGCGCTCGGCGAGAAGCGCTTTGGCGGCCGGTGCATCGTCGCGCGGGGATGCGACAGGCTTGACAACTTCAATGGCAAACCACTTGCCGAGGCGGTGCGATCGGCTAAAGCTTTCGCGAGCCCACCACGCCGTCTGCATCTATTAAAGCATGAGAGCCTACGGGGCATATCCGTTGCACCACCTGACGCTGGAGCTGCTTGAGTGACGTCGCCGATGCACAGACCTTGGTCGTGACGCTCTTGGCGACAATCACCGGCGCCTCCGAGATCTGCGTCTCGAGCGCGACGGCGACGCGGAAGATACGCCGCTCGCCACGGTGGCAGTGACGCTCGGCGACGTTAGCGTCCCACTTCATGACACACGACACGGTGCGTGCCTCGGGATCAATCTGCGACGGGCTGCGAAAGTCGAGTGCTTGCCATTGGCTGGCGTCATCCATGGCGCCAGGAGACATGCTCGCATCCTACATGTCAATCGTCACACTTGCGCCGACAGGATGACAAGACCTCGGCGCCGTATTTGTGAAAGAACCCGCCGAGCGTGGCCGAGCCGAGAGCAGACGCCGCAGCGTACTCTGTGCGCGGCGCTTTGGTCCGCGTGCGCTCGCTGCAGATGCGAACGTGGGGAATGCCAAGGAGGCAAAAGTGCTGGTGGTCGGCTTGCACGGCCCGGACGACGATGCGACGCGCCTGGCCTTGCTTGAGCCGCAGCGTCCCGTCTTCTTTGACCGTCACGGGTTCGTAGATGCCGTCGGCGCTGCGCTCTTCGACGTCGATTGAGATGAACACGTCGAGCTTGGCAGCGATCGGAACGGTGCGGCGGCGTCGAGGCTTATTGAGCGCTTCCGCCGACGCTTCGTCGGGCGTTGCGTCGAGGACCGACTGGTGCAGTCGGGCAATGTACATGGTCTTGTCCGTGAGCGAGATTGGCACCATGTCGCCCCAGCCCCACACATCAATGAGGACGCTGGCCGAGGAAAGCACGTCTTCAAGCGCCTTGCCGTCGGGGCAGTCGACTTGCGTCGTGAACGCATGGTCCAGGTTGAAGACACCCGACCCCGTCCGCATTGCTTTCGGCGACGAACTACACAGCGTTGATACACTCGCAGGAAGTGCTCGAGTACCTGCTGCCATGCTGGTTCCACAGCCGATAGGTCGCGTAGACGCCATCGGAAGCCACGACGCCCGATACAAAAGTGATGTCTTGGAGGTGAACCTTGATGTCGAGAGTCGTTGTCGCTGCCGTTTTCAACAGGCCGCTGGCCACTCGGTCTTTGCTCAGTTCGTAGAGAAGGTCCACCGCAATCGAAGCAACGTGGGCGCCCTCCGAGTTGTACACGGCGATCGTCCGTGCCATGCCCTTGAGCATCTTGGTGTGTGCGCTCGTGAGGCCTTTCGAGACGCCGTACCCGAGAAAGACCCGCGCGTGGCCCAGGAGCCGGACACCCGACGCCGGCCGAGACTCGGCAAACGGATCGGGCTTTTCAATCGATGCCTCTTTTGGGAGTGGCAGCGCCTTCAGCTGGCATTCGGGCAAAGGCGCCACAAGACCGTCAAAGAGGCTTGCGTCTGTGATCGCCGTGTCGCCGAGGGCACGTTGCTCGAGCAGCATGGCTCTCGCGTCAAAGGTGGCCGCATCCCACGTCACCTCGGTGGGCTTGCCATCCGAAGAGACGATCCGAATGGCATTAGCTGCCTCGACGTCCACGCGATACGCCAAATTCAGCTCTTCGCAGAGCTGATTGGCGCGCGCCGCTTGCAGCTGTAGCGTCAAGAGCTCGTCGACATGCTCTTCGCCCGACTTTGCAGGCGCTTCGACGTCCTCCTCGTCCTCGTTGGTCACGTCGACCTCGATGCATTCTTCCGGGCCGCTCAAATCAATTTGGTTGTCCTTCTCGGGCGACCGCGGGCTACGCCGAAAGACAGCTTCTAACGGCACTGCACAAACAGCCTCAGCACGTTATACACGGCGCGTGAGAAAAGAAAACGTACCATGGATGCGGTACTCGTGGGTGCGGCCAAAGTGGACGCGATCGCGGTGCTTGAGCGGCGTAAAGCTCGAGATGCGGTCTCCTAGAATTCCCACCGCATCAGCACCAACGAGTGACACGGCGAAGCTACCGTTGACAAAGACGTCGGCCGATGGATGCGGCTCGATCGTTAGGAACCCGTTGTCGTTGAGGAGCTTGGCGTGAAGCGGGAGGAGCTGGTTGGCATCGACTTCCAATTTCAAGGGTGAGATCGGCCACGTTGTCGCGTCGTCGGGACTCTACGTGATACAAGCTGCGTGGAGGTTTGTCGCCGCCATGATGGACACGTACGCCGTGACCAAGAAACACGGGTGCGATTTCCTGCCATGTCTCGGGCGTAGTCGGCGGCTCGCTTCCGAGCAGCGTCAACCCAGGAAAGAGCGTGCACGCCAACGGTTCGTTCTCCGCGAGGTCTTCTTGGAGGTTGATCAAGCTCGGGTGCTGGCCTTGCAGCACGATCTTTTGCGTATCGTGGAGGGACTTTTGGAGTTGCAACAACATGCCTTCGCGTTCGGCAAGCGACGCAAAGAGGCCCGCACTCGCCTCGGAGCTGCGGCGGCGCGGTAGCTTCTCGAGTTGTGCACGAAGGTCCGCAATCTCTTGTCGGAGCTGGCGAATGATCGCCGCGTTCTTGTCTTCGTTGACAACGACGCGGTTGATGATCTTCTTGGCCGACTCGGCGTACCGTAGCGTGCTCAGCGTCTCTTCGTAGTTGTCGGAGGACGGGCTAACCATGGCCAGCATCGTCGTCTGTGCGCGTTGCGTGAGCTTCGCTCCTCTGTCATGTGACGACGCACCTTGGCGTTGCCACCGAGAGACTCTTTGAGGAGCCACGTGAGCGTGCTGTCGCGGTACGGGATGCGCTCGTTCGAACTTAGAGACGAAATGACGCGCCCGAGCGTCGAGAGGCTGCGGTTGATCATCGACGCTTCTTTCAACCGCTCGCCAGACGTCCCGGACGTATCGCTGCGCTCCGAGCCCGCCAAGTCAACGAGACATATCTTGGATGTCTACAGCCATCGATAAGATACCCTTTTCAAGCGCAAAACCAGACCTTGTCGTGACCACAGAGCGTGATCGGGTCGACACGCGTCTAAAGAAAAATGGATTGAGCTCGACGCACTAGATACGGGCAATTGACTTGGGTAAAAAGGATGGTAAAGATCGCGTGCGACCGCGACGACGTTGGGTTCATGAGCGTCGCAGCCACGGTGCGCAGCTTCTGGCCGACGAGCAGCTCGTCTTCGATCTACGACACAGGATGAGAACGACATCTCGAGAGGCAACCGCGTGTACCTCGGCGTACGAGCCCACAGAGCGTGTTGTGAGGCCTTCCACAAACGGACCGTGCACCGGGTGCTCACGAATCTTGAGCGGCCGGGCGTCGTCCGTGTACGAGGTCGGCGACGTCGGCTGCGAGCGTGCACGCGCGTCGTCCAAGAGGTCCTTGACCTTTTCCTTGTAAATCTCGCAATAGTTGACCTGCCAGAGATGAATGTAATATCGCTCTTGCATGTTCTGCATCGTCTTCTTACCTGGACCGAGTAGATGGTCTTTTCCGTCGTGTTGTTTTCGACCTCCTTGGTGCGCCGAGCTTCAATCTGCTCAAAGAGCGCTTCGCAGATACGCGGGATCAAGCCTTTGCCGTGCTCCGACTTGTCGCCAACCATGGTGTACGTCTTGCCACTGCCCGTCTACCGGATGACATGCAGATGTGTGGTCTCTCATTACGAGCAAGAGACATGGTGTACCTGGCCATAGGCGAAGACGCTGCAATTGAAGCCGCTGAATGCATTCTCAATGAGGTCCCTGCCCACCTCGCGGAAGATGGCGGCTTGGACAGCCTCCTTCTCGGGCGCGTCGCCAAAGCACCGGTCAAACTGGAACACGCGCGGTGGCAGAAGCTCGGCCAGCGGGTTGTCGTGGCGGCCGGCGCGCAGCTGGACCGAGCTGCCCTTGAGCGCCACGATGGGCGTCTGGCCGCTCGCGCGCTCCTTCTCGCTCATCGGGCGCACGCGGACCACGACGCGGGTCGCGCAGGTCGACGACGCCTCCATCCTCGTCGGCAACAGATGGGTTTTACGCCATCATCATCCTTTTTCTTTTTATTATTATTATAGCTCGCTATTTTCGCCATGTGGGACGACATACAAAGGCCAAGTGGTGACGAAACGGCTGGCGCGTCAAGGGCTTTCAGTATCCATTGTCACAGGTTATCCATTGCTACAAACTTATAAACTTAGTTCTTGAGCTTGTCTAATAAAAACAAAAATATCGAATCTGGAGATGGATACGTTTCAACGGTAGTATCGACATCGTACAGCATTTGCGGGACCATGGACGGGGAAGCGCCGGCGCCCAGCGCGCAGGCGACTGAGACGCCGCCGCCCAAGAAGCGAGCGGCTAAAAAAACAGCAGTGGCTAAACCAAAGACAAAGAAGCCCAAGGCCGCGACAACCGAGACCCTAACTGCAGCGACAACCGATGCGACTAGCAATGAAGGAGCGACTGTCGCCGTGGATGGGTCAGCAGAGCCCAAGCCAGTGGCGTCGTCCGAGAGCCCGGCCAAAAAGAAAAAGAAGAAGGCGGCGAAGAGCGTCAAGGCGACCAAGTCTGCGCCAGTGACGCAAGAGGCAGCAGATGCCAAGCCGGCCGACCCTACGACGGCGTCGAGCGCAGAATCCCTCGCGTCCGAAAACCCAAGCCCCAGAATCGGAGTAGACACGACTGTCCTGCTACCACCCACGTCCGAGATTGCAACCAGCCCGAACGAAACGCTGTTGGCGCAACCCGACGTTGTTGCCAGTGAGGAGCCTGACTCGCTACATCCATCTGTGACGAAGGGGCTGCCTGCGTCGGGCGCAGTAGAGTCAAACTATGACGTGGCGCTCGCACCTGGCACCATTTCGAACAAAGTCTCAGGTGGCGATCTTGCAAAGCCACCGGGTGAGCCCGAGCCCGAGGAAAAGGAGCCCTCGGATAGCACCCCGCTATTGCCCACCGAATCGCCTACCATCAATGCACCGGACGACGACGTCGCCGACACAGAGCAAAGTGCTCTATCTACCCAACCTCGATCGCTCCGACTCCAGCCCCGACCTTCCAGCGATGGTACGAGTCCACACCACCACTGTCGTTCTCGCCTATGAGCTGAAACTCTAGCAAAAGGGCCAGCCTCTGCATCGACATCGTTTCACATCGCAGCGTCTGACATTGAAAACGACACAACACCAATGCCGTTGCCTCGGCCAGGCCCATACCTCGCCGTCGATCTCTTGGACGGCAGCGCACGCGTGCTTGAAAACAGCGGCCCAGTGCGCGTCTTTGTCGAAGGACTCACCACGGGAATGTTCCTCCCTCTTCGACGTTCCCATGGGCATCGCTTCGACGCCAGCGACGATCAGGTAGTGCAGGCGTATACATCCTTCAACGTATGACTTTACGTTGCTTGTATTTTTCAGGCCCGGCTTTTACCCCGCGACCAAGACGACGACGACGAGAACGAAGACGAGCACGCGTGTAATGATCCCAACGCGCTCTTTGAGGCAGCCGTGGCCAACTTGAAGGCGGCGGAGCATATCATTTACGTGCTTGTTCAAGGCCTCCTTGGCGGCGCAGGTCTCTGGTACGTCGTGAGCGTCCACGACGTCGCTGCCATTTGCGCACTGGGCTCGACGGTCAACGAAGCTCGGCGCCTCTTCTTCGTCGCCTCCAGATATCCTTTGGACGACATTGGCTCTGTTTTATATGACTCTTTTGTGCAATGTACCTTGACAGCTACCACTGTAAGCTTGATTGGAGCGATGCAAAAAGCGTCTGCCTTCTTGGCCGAGACGCCGCGCTTCTCGTGGAGCTGGCAAGTGGTCTTGGTACCCACCTGCAATCCTTTCGTTTTGTTTATCGACGCCGGGTGTAGCTCGGCGGTATGCTTGTCTGCTACAGTCTGGCCATGGTGCTCGTCGTGGCAGCGTCGCCTCTCATCGCACAAGTCTCGGTCGCGGCAAATGCAACTTGGTAGGACGCAAGTGCTCGGATTGGCTATAAGACTACGGTGTCCTAGGTGCTCCACAACCCCTGACGTGAGCCTACGCGGACGGCTCGTGGCTTGGAACGATATTGCGATGGCGTACGTCGCATGCATTCTATCTGCGTGGCTCTTTATCTGTCTGGTACCAACCTCCCCGCCTGCTTCGACGTCGCACAAACTATGGTAGTAGGAATTTGCCGTCGCCAGGCTCCACGAGCGACGCAGGCTCGAGCGAGCGCATGCGCTGCAGCTCCAAGCTAAAGAGGCCACGTACACACTATATGTTGTTTTGCGTCGTTGAGTTGCGTGTGTAGCATTCAAGAGCTCACAGGCAGCAACATTGACGGGCTCTCGGATCTGGACCTCGCCCGATTGCTTGGCCTTCATCGGGTAAACCTCGCGTGTCCCATTCAGCCACCAAGTCACCATTTGATATAGACACAAATCGAAAATATTCAACAAATGCTCGCCATCCGAGCGTCGTAGCCACTTTCAACTAGCATTCGAATGGTTGACTCGTCTTCCTCTTCGACGGTTTAGAGTCCGAGAGACAACTTGTTGACAGTACTAGTATTAGGAACCGTACAGACACGACAGGCAGGCAGAGTCTGATGCTTGTCGCGCTACGTACAAATAGGGGGACATGTCGTCGATCAGCACTGTGTACGAGCACGTTGATACCTCGCTATGTGTATCACGGATGGTGGCGCATCGGATTCTACGATAAACCGTCGGCAAGACCGCACAGCAAAGGGGGTATACGGCGCTCGCCCTTCCGCCAATGTCCCACCTCTCGGCTTATTGCAACATCGGGAACTAATGCTGAAGATCACAGAATTGCGGTCAATTGGGCGTGACGAAAGAAAGGCGCATTGAGACCGAGCTTTTAGCCAAAATTGAATTTCTCTGCTCGCACAAACACATGTGTTGCGCCTTTATCTCTCCTCGTCGTCGTCGTCGTCGACTTCGTCATGGTCGCTGTCGACATTGTCGTCGAGAGACAAGAGGTACTGCACGACGTTGCCGTAGCCGTACTCGTCGGCTTGCTCGAGCGCGGCTTCGGTAAAGCCTTCGCTGCGGTTTTCGACGAGCCACATGCACGTCGCAAGGTATCCGTTGCCGGCGGCGCGGTCAATCGCATGGTACGTACACCCTAGTGCCACGCCATTCGCCACCATGTTCAATGTATGTGCATCAACGAACCTTCGCTGCGGTGCGCGTGCAGAAACTGGACGACTTCCAAGTGGCCGTTGCGCGCGGCCTTGTCCATGGCGTTGGTTGTACAGCCCTCGAGACGGTTCCAGTGCAGCCATTCCACGACCTGATCAACATCGTATCGACGTGATATGTCAAACACATGCGGCGTACCTCGAGATGACCGTTTTCGGCTGCCCCGTCCATGGCATGGGTCGTGCAGCCCTCGCGCCGTTGTTCGTGGAGCCACTGAACGACCTCGAGGTGGCCCTTCATCGCCGCCGAATCCATGGCTTCCGTTGTGCAGCCTTCCGGTCGGTTCTCATGCAGCCATCGCACAACGTCGAGATGGCCTTGCTCCGCCGCCGCGTCCATCGCATACGTGGTGCACGGCGCGCCCATATGAAAGTGCAGCCAATGGACGACCTCCAAGTGACCGTTGGCCGCCGCCTTGTCGATGGCTTCGGTCGAGCACCCTTCGGTCCGGTGCGTGTGCAGAAACTGAACGACGGCCAAGTGGCCGTTTTCAGCGGCGCCGTCAATGGCGAGCGTCGTGCAGCCCTCGGCGCGATGAAAGTGCAAGAATTGAACGACGTCCAGATGACCGCGACGCGCAGCGTGGTCCATCGCGTCGGAGCTGCAGCCTTCACGGCGGTGCGTTTGGAGGTACTCAACGAGCTACGACACAGAGTGAGATGCGAGGACGACACTGACGATCTGATCGACCTCGAGACGACCGGCCTCGGCTGCCAAGTCCATCGCCCACGTCGTGCAGCCCTCGGAGCGATGTGCCTCGAGCCACTGAAAGACGTTGAAATGACCGTTCCCGATCGCCTTGTCCATGGCATAAGTCGTGCACGGATATCCCATCTCGGTAAGCCACACGACCACGTCCAGGTGGCCGTGCGACGCGGCGAGGTCGAGTGGCCGCAGCTCCAAGTCGGACTCGAGCACGTCATTTTCAAGGTGGGATCGGTCAAACGACTCTTCGTCAATGAATTCCAGATCGGGAATTTGAGGCATGTCGGTGATAAAGGCGTCGTCAAAGGGCTCGTACTCTTCGTCGCCGCCAAAGAGGTCATCGAGCACCTTGGTCTTCTCGGACGCGGCGGCAGATGCGGCAACAGACGCGAGGCGCGACTTGTTCTCGGACGCGTGCATGTGTAGCCACTGGACTACGGGAAGGTGACCGTACTCGGCTGCCCAGTTCATCGCCATGTCGGTCCACCCGTTCTCCGTGTGTTCATGGAGGTACTGGATCATGGCCAATTGCCCGTGGCGCGCCGCACTGTCCATTGCATGGATTGTGCAGCCTTCGCTCCGGTTCGCCAGTAGCCACTCGACAGTCTCCAAATGACCACCGGACGCTGCATTGTCGATCGCGCTCGGACTGCAGCCTTCGTCGCGGTGATTATGGAGCCACTGCACGATCTCGAGGCGACCGTGATTGGCGGCCCAGTCCATCGCGCGGTACGTACAGCCGCGGTCATGGTTGTTGTGGAGCCACTTGAGCAACTCCATGTGGCCATTGCAAGCGGCCCAGTCCATCGCATTCGTCGTGCAAGCGAGCTCGAGCCCTTCCTTCATGCGCGTCTGGAGGATGTAGAGATGGCCGTTGTACGCCGCGTGGTCGGCGCTGCGCCAGTGCTTAAAGGCGAGGCCGTCGTTGAAGGCGTTGATGAGCAGGTACAGCCCGTGGTCCAAGAGCACATCCAGGACACGGCTCGTCGGCATCCTTGCGCTTGTATCAAAGGTTGTTTGTTGATGAGGTTGGCTGGCCATGACACGACCTTCATTCTCGAATTCGACTCTCCCATCTTTAATATAAATATTCAATGTGAGAGGTTATGTCGCTGGCGCCGAAATCCGATTTGATCCCAAGCAGCCACCTGCCAACGCCGGTGATTTCGATTGCTTGGACATTGCTTCGAGTCGGATAGCCCGCTTCGTCCTATATTTCAATTTCATACGATGCTCAGTTGCTGTAGAAGGTATCTAGGGCCATTTTCGATATTTGTCGTTCTGGTCATTTCTACATTTGCCGACCGACGTCACTTCGGGTTGTGTCACTTTACACGAATGGTGTCCTTGGTTGTCGTTGAACATGGGTCCTTTGTGTGGAAATACACATTCTTACGGTGTTAGTATTTCGAGCGAATATACAAGCGTCGAAACACACGGTAGCTTGACGTTGGGGCTTTCTTTGGCTCGAGTGGCACGTCGCTGAGATGTTCCTCCTGGTTGCTTAGCGACGCCGTCTCGGCCTTCTCGTTCTGGCTCAACCACGCTAGGAACTCGTCGTTCGGAGCCGAAGGGAGTGGTTTGATCGATGCTCGACGCGTGTTGAGCCACGCCATGTAGCTTTCAATGTACTGCAAGACGTCGTCGCTGGTTTCGGGTGCCGTCGCCGGGTCCTCGATGGACGCTCTTGCGGTCGTCGATTGCTTTCGCGACGTATACGACGCAGTCGTCTTGATTGGAACGTTGGGGCAGTTCTAGAACGTCATCCTCCTGGTTCCCGGCAAGCGCATCTTCCGAGTCGTCGATCTCGCCCACTTCAAAAGAATCTGACGAGCGACCGACGCCATTGCTTTGGAGCAGCGATACGCGGGCGACAAAGTGGTCAGGGGTCTCGGCGGCATTGGCCGTGTGGCGTGCGGTCGACGCCCAAGCGAAGGCAGCGGCGATGGCCCACCGGACGTACGATAGCACCGCGGCGAGGTACAGCGCAACGGACGACGTGTTCATGTAGCGAGATGATGCAAAGTATCTTTTCTCCGTCTACCATGACGTGGCAGATACTACGCTTTAAAATTAGCACCGTCAAAACCGGTTGACGTCGGCCAATAGCGTCGCCAACTGCCGGCGCATCTTCTTGATTGCAGGCCAACGCCCTCG